CCTTAGTACAGTGAACATTGTTGGTGCACTTCCCAGAGAATTTTGCGCTACGTCTGGTGCAACTTCCGGCTGCCTCAACATTATTCTCTACATGTACAACAACAAAACGAAATGAAAAAAATATGAACATATATAAATGGATCGAAGGAAGAGCTTTCTAATGAAAGAAAGCTATTGAATAGCAAGTTACGGGGGAATATACATAATAAAGACTGTTAATATATTGGTACAAATCGTTAAGTACTACTTTCAATCCTTAATATAAGAGTTAGATAATTGATTATGGATATTAAGAATATTGGTTAAATTAGTTATTTGCAATAAATTGATGTTGTTTTTTTTAAATATCACAATTAATCATAATCATGTGCATTGAAAATATTCTTTGATGAAAAGTCTTTAACATGCAATCATCATAAGAATTACTTGAGGGTAAAATAGATAACTATTGGAGACAAAATGAATTGAAGATATGAACATATATAAATGGATTGAAGGAAGAGCTTTCTAATAAAAAGAAGCTATCGAATAGCCAGTTATTGGGGATTATATATATGCATAAAGGACTGTTACTATATATTGGTACCAAATTGCTACTTCTTTGAGAAGAGGAAATGGCAAAACTAACCGTTGGGATTAGAAATCACGAGGGCAATGCAGAGGAAGGCAATGAAGGAAGACAACTTGAGAAGTGAGGCAGCCATGTCTGGTAACTGAGTTTATTATATCACAGGAGAGAGTTTGATTCGAGGAAGGACTCCACACACACATATATACATGTTTATATACAACTATCTTCATGGGAACCATCGTCTTTTCATGGTACATGGCCTGTTTTTTCCTCTTTGCCTACGACGTTGGAAGTGTCATCACATATAAGATGTCTAGGAGACTTGGTCTGTTGCAGTCCAGCTTTCAAATTATCCACATTGTTCATGTAAGCATATTTTAGTATTTTGATGCTTCTTTGCGTTATTAATAAGTTCATATATATTACCATATATCTATATATATATATATATTACCTTATTGCATATCCATTATTTTCTTTTTCTTTTTGTTTCCCTTTATTTTCTACTTTTGTATTAATTGGTTTTATCTTTTTTCCCCTTCTTTTTTATTTTATTTTATTTTTTTCATATCTGGAGTTTTCTTCTTTCGTCCCCTCACAATTATTATTATGTAATCTCTTTCTGTTGGCCTTATATATGATGATGATAGAAAATATGTCCAATGGTATTTGCTTGCTGTGTACATTTAGTTGTGCATTGTGCACATCATGTTATCCTTTGTTTATTAGCTTGACAGGTACTGATTAAGGCATGAGATTTGATTCATCTCTTCCTTTTATTACCACCATGTTTGATAATCTGGCAAATGAATTATGTTTGTTCTTTGCTATTATCCTCATTTATATTTCATCTTTCTCTTCTCTGTTTTTTTTTCAATATTTGTCGTGGGAGATTTTCAAAACCTCTTAAGCTATTGAGGTTTCTTGGTAAACCATGCCTGTAAGAATTTTCGGTCTCAGCAAGTATACTAATTGGGTTGCTTAATGTTTTAAAGTTGTTGTAAGATTATTCAAAACGTGTTCTCTTTCTTATAAAATTAAAGAAAATAAGATTCCGAAATGATTTTTATCTGAGGTTTTAGAACCTCCAAAGGTACAATGATTAATTTCTATATGAGATTTTCATAATATCTATAAACACTTTAATCTGAAATATTTTGCAGAAAAACTTTCTTGAATAAGAAAAAGTATTGTTTTTATACATTAAAAAAACCAATGAGAGGCAATCTTCTTGAATAAAATAATTAAATATTTACTTGAATCCCAAATTACGTGGATTTTAACCCTCCTTTTAATTCATGCATAGGCTCTTGGTTCTTATTTCATGTCAAGTTTAACTTTCTAAATTAAAGAAGTTAATTTCACTTTCTGACAGTTATAATTTTATTTCTTTCCAATTAATCAACAGAATCTTCTGTCAATTGGGAAAAGATTCTCCTTTGCACACTCAAATTCTCCTTCTTTCCAATTAATCAACAGAATCCTCCCGATCTGTTGAATAGGGGCATGAGTTATGGTATGGATATAAAATAATTGCTCGAACAATTTTTTTTTATATTTCCATTACAAGAAGTAAAAAGATAACGAACGAAAAAGAATTAAGATGAATTATTTATACTTTTTGCATTGAAGTTTGTCCTTTTAAAAATATTCTGAGTTTATTTATTCATCTATTTAATTGTTATTACTCTTTTATTTTCTCATGAAATCCCTTTTATTTTCTTTTATTTTTTTGGGTTAAATAAATTGGTTAGTCGTTGTAGAGTACAACCTTACTCACCTTATATACTCTTCTGATCCTTAATATAAGACTTATTTAACTAGTTTGATTAAATTGAGAAAGTTAAGTAAGTTAGTTAATTATAAGAAATATGACATGTTTTTCCTAAAATACCATAATCATCTTTCTTAATATCCTCTCTTCCTCCCTTACTTGATTATAGTCGAGAGGCTATCTATGAGAGTAATTTAGAAAAAACTGATAAATATGATAAATAGGTCTTATATTTAGAACCACAATTAACTTAATAATTATGTCCTATATTAAGTATAGGAGAAGTACTAGAAATATTTTTGTGAGTAAACATTAATTTTCGGTGGCTTCGACAGTCGACACCCTTGGATTCCTTTTGAAAAGAAAACCACTGAAAATACTTAAGAAAATCAAAAACTTCTCAACTCATGATATAATGATAATACATGTAGGTCAGTAGATAATATATTTTTTTGAATGGTAGATAATATATATTTATATATATACAAGAATTCATTCCCAAATCCTCTTTATAAGTTATTTGTAACATATTTTACATAAATCAAGAAAAACCTTAAACTTCATTAACTCTATGTTAAAATTTAATAACTAATTTTTAAATTTATCTCCATTTAATATATATTATATCTCATAAAATAAAGTCAATATAATAATAAATTAAGAGTAAAATTATACCTTGATATGAAAAAATTTTCTCTTTACTTTGTAAATCGGACTAGATAGAGGAGTAACAACTAAAGCATATGAAGACTCAATGACAAGAAGTTTCTATAAAGTGCCAACACCGTTACCTATATGATAATTGACTACATAAGTTTTTATTTGGTGGAGGACAAAAAACAAAAATTCAGACACATGTATTACAAAGAAAGCTTGCATACATACACATAGTGCATTATTATTAGCTGTGGCACTATTAATTATTGATATGATATAGATGATGAAGGGGAGGCTGGTGTGTGATAAGTAGGCAGTGACACTTTCACCCTTTACGTACAACTGTAGAAGCAGAAGCAAGCTGGGTCAGGAAGAGCAACACAACTTCCCGCACCAGCGCCCTCGCTGTGGCACGCATCATTACAGCGGCCATTGTCCCCGCAATAGCCAGAGAATTTTGTGCTAGCTCTGCTGCAAAGCGCTGCCTCAACATTTTCTATGTACATTAACAACAACAAATCAAGTGAAAAGATATGAACATATAAATGGATTGAAGGAGGAGCTTTCTAATAGAAAGTTATTGAATAGTGAGTTACCGGGGAATATGCATATATAAGGACTGTTAATACTAGTGCAAATTGTTAATTACTACCTCTAATCATTAATTTGGGAGTTAGATAACTAATTTGTAAATATTAAGAAAATTAGTTAAGTTAGCTACTTGTCATAAATGGATGTTATTTTTTTTCTAAAATATTCTTAGGTTAATATAACTTTGATCTTTCAAATTTGTTCTCATTTTAGTTTTGGTTCTTCAAGTTTCAAACCATAAGTTTTTGGTCCTTCAATTGTTTAGTGTTTAATGGATTATGGGAACTCATGTTATAAATGAAAAGAAACTTGAGGGATCAAAACTTATAGTTTGAAACTTGAGAGACCAAAACTAAAATAAAAACAAATTTAAAAGATCAAAATTTGTATTAACCTAATATCTTTGATAAAAACCCCTTAACTTATGTAATCACCATAGGAATTACTAATTAGGAGCAAAATAGAAAAACATTAGAGACAAAATATTAAGTCTTATGTTTATAATCAAATTGGATCTCTAAGTAATTCTTATATCAAAGACTCGAGGTAGTATTTGAGCAAAGGAAGTGGTAAAAACTCAAGTGGGTATTTAGACATTGGTAAAACAAAACCAACCGTTGGGACTAGAAAGCACGAGGGCAATGCAGAGGAAGGCAATGAAGGAAGACAGCTTAAGAAGTGAGGCAACCATGCGTGGTAATACTGAGAGTAATATATCACAGTAGAGGGAGAGAGATGGAGAGAGAGGGAGCTTGATTCGATGCCCAAGTTGAGGACGATGAAGGACTATATGCATCTCCATATATACAAATTAAATAGATACACACAACTATCTTCATGGGAACCATCGCCTTTTCGCAGTAAATGGCCTGTTTTTTCTCTTTGCCTAAGACGTTGGAAGTGTCATCATATGATGTCGAGGAGATTTGGTCTTATGTTGCAGTCGCAGCTTTGAAATTATCCACTTTGTCCATATATGCATATTTTAATTGACGGATGTGATGGGGTTTTTAGTAGTTTAATCCTTTTCTGTCCTAATTGCTCTCTATTGATAATTGAGTTCGTATTACCTAAACAATAAATAAGATTTCAAAGGTGATTCTTAAAATATTTTTTTTCCTATCATTTCAGGTTTATTGGGATTAACCGTGTGTTTGATAAATCCCATCTACTTTTATTGAAATGCACCAATCCACATTGGATTAATGGGTCTGGAATCAATCTCTACTTCATTTTTGCCCCGAAAGAAAAGGCGAGTTTTAGCGAGGAGGGTAAGATTGTGATATCAGAAAGTTAACATGAATAGTTTAGTCTGACAAAATATTTCTCTCCCATTCCCAGAAAAAAAATCCGGGAAAGAAGGGAAAGGAAGCATAATGTAAAACACAATTTTTTCCCTAACTCCGCTCTATTTTTCCTTCTCAATCCCTCCCCTTCCTGCAAAAATAAAAAAACCCCAAACAAGGCCTAAAATTTTCTTTGCTCGAGGAGTGATTCAGAGTGGGTTGTCTGCCACTGCGTCGATTGGAGTCTCTCGTGTTGCTCACATGAACTGAAATGGTTCTCGGCTTCTCGCATTGCTGGCCTGAAACTGAGATTGAAAGCTGCGTGGGTACTTGGAGGTTGCATTTTCACTGATTTGCTTTCGAGCTTCGTTCTCCCTCACTTGCCTCAGGTTTGCTTTCTTAGGTCTATTGGTCTTGTTTTTCAGTTCCTGGTCTCTCCCCTGATGTTGGCTCTGTCGTTCACTGTCTGACACTCATTATGTACAAGTTTGCGTACACAAGAACAAGATTGGGTTCGGAAACTTACCTGTAAAAAAACTTATTTTTATAATCTTACACTCGCTGGTTGCGCGCATTTTTTTTTTTGTCATAGAATCGAGAAGGGTTGTCTCCCCACTGCAAACCCCTCTTTTCTACACAGACACACACACACGTTTTCTTGGTTACATTGGTTGGCTAAAGAAATCTGATGCTAATCATGGAATGTTAACCATATATTGAAAATAAAATATTAGGAACTGAAAAATGAATCAATACCAAGTGGCTGGAAAGAAAAAGCAGTAGTGAGAAACATTAAAGCATTGTAGGAAATAGCAAGAAAATTCACGGGCAATTGCTTGATTTGACCAGTGAAAGAAAAAAAAAAAAATGAAAGCAGGACTCGTAAAACGAAAGATTATAATCTTTTACCAGTACATTTAGTAGATCATAAAGATGAAAGAAGAAGGGGAAGGAGAGAAGAGCGACTGAGTGAGAGCGAGCACGCGCACAGAGGGAGGGAGGGAGGTAAAGAAGGTGCAGCTAAGGACCCTCCATTTGTCACAAAGTAATGAAAACCTATTTGCTGTCCGATGTGCAGCTCAATGCATTAAAAATATAGGTTTAATAAAAAAAGGAAGTGTCTTGGACAAAAGCTTATTTTGTTCTCCTTTTTAATTTTTAATTACGGCATCTCCTATGCATTTGTATCAAGTTAGATATGAACCATTCTATTCCCTTTATTTGTTTATATTTTATCTTCCATGTTGAATAGAAATATTTTATTGGTGTACTGTGCTGGTTTGTTTTACTGATATTATTTTAATGGCTTTGTTTTAGTGTTTTATTACTTTGTAGTTTTTTTGGATTATTGTGCGGACATTGTTGATCATGGATGACAATAATGCTGAAGGAAATGAGAATGCCAACCCCACTCCTATTTCTACCAATAATCCCACTCCTGACTTACCCTCATCATTCCATGGGACTGCTAAAACTGATCCTGCATGGGCATATGTTACATTTAAAAAAGAGGGAAAAGTAAATGTTTTTACCTGCTTTTTTTGTGCATCAATTTATAGGGGAGATGGAATAAATAGGATGAAGTAACATCTAGCTAGTGTCACTGGTCAAGTGTGTTCTTGTAAAAAAGTCCCTTATGATATACGTGTCAGAATGAAAGAATCTTTGAAAGAAGGTGCAAAGAAAAAATCTGTTAATGATGTAGAAGACAACGTTGAAATTAGGAAAATTGAAGAGCCAATTGTTTCACCTCGACTTAGGATAGGCATTGAGAATAGTGGCAACAAGAGAAAAGCTCTTAACACTAGGAGGATTGATAATTGTTTTGTTCCTAGGACAATTCCTGGTTCTCAACCAAGCCTCAACAGTGTATTGTAAACTAAAGAAGCACATTATAATGTCAAGATGGTTATTGCTCAATGGGCTATTATTAATTGCATTCCATTTAGTGCATTAGATTTTCAAAAAGTTGTTGATGCTATTGCTTCAATTGGGCCTGGGTTTAAGGTCCCTAAATCTCATGATTTTAGAAATACATTGCGGGGAGATTGGAAAAAAGAATGACAGTTAATGATTGAGAGTCATCGTGGAAAATGGAAAGAAAATGGCTATACACTTATGGTTGATGGTTGGACCGATGGTAGACTGTAAACTTTAATTAATTTTTTAGTCTATTCAATACATGATATGATATTTATGAAATCAGTTGATGCTTCAGATTTAGTTAAAGATGCCAAAAGTTTATTCTATTTGTTCTGTGAAGTTATTGCTTGGGTTGGTCCTGAAAATGTGATCCATGTAGTGACTGACAATGCTGCTAACTATGTGGCATGTGGTAGATTGATTAAAGAGAAATATAGAACTATTTATTGGTCACCTTATGCAACTTATTGTTTAAATCTTGTTTTCAGTGATATTGTTTCCATGCCTCATGTGTCAAACCTTACAACAGAGGCATCTAAAATCACTATATTTGTATATAATCATATGAACTTTTTGTCATGGCTAAGGAAAAGACCCGGTTAGAAGGAAATTGTACGTCTTGGTGTGACAAATTGCATTGAACTTCCCATCTACGACGGAAGGTGCCCTACGGCGTGAGACGGCATGCCAAGGGCCGACGCGAGGATCAGCGCCTTCACTATTTTCATTTGCAGAACGGTTCCTTGAGAATGGTTGGAGATTGCCTTTGTGTCACTGTGTCACTTCTCATCTTTTTCTTTCTTTCTTTCTTTCTTTCTTTCTTTTCTTTTTAATTTTGCTTGCTTGCTTTTGCCGCCTTAGGAGGGCTTAGATGATTTTTGAGTGTTTGATGTATCTCACGGTTGTGATTAAACTAGGGGCACCTGCATGTTACCAATTCCCACTCCCTTTCACGGGCACGGTCAAAGTCGAAGGTAGTGACTCTTAGTGATAGGAAATATGGGAGATTTTATTCCAAAAAAAAAAAAAAGATTTTTGTCCTTTCAAGTTTTCAATTATATTTTTGTAAGCATCCTTCTAAACGTCAGTTCGCTTTTTGTGAGTTTGCACCTTGTTGTTTAATTTTATTTTTATAATTAGATTTCTTCATGGGTAGGAAAGCTTGATCTATAAATAGACGTTAATAGCACTTGCATTTCAGTCTTTGATTAATGAGTATTTGATGGTTTTGTGATCTCACCCACTCGTTTGCTGCCTTCTCAATTTTCCCTCCATGTTTTGTTTTGTTTCTCTTCCTCCATGCTCACTGATCTTTTGCATTTTGATCCTTTTAGCGTTAAAATGGAACATGGATTGGGCTTACCACTTGCTTCAGATGATGATGGAGACAAAGAATATTTAATGGAGTTGAGTATAAAAGAGTTGGTTTCAAATTTGGAACTGCATTCCGTATGATTGACTATGACCGCGTGGAGGAGGTCTTGGTTGAGAAGGAAAACAAATTAAAGGCTGAGATTAAGGTACTAACTGATAGAATAGAATTAGAGAGGTTAGAGAGGATGAGTGTTCAAGATGAATTGAGGAAATGTAAGGAGCAATGTGAGATAAGGCAGCATGCTGAAGAGAGATATGAGAAACTGTTGGAAGAGGTGAAGAAGAACACAATGCTTAAATGATGGAAATATGATTGCTGAGTTGAGGATTAGGAATGCTGAATTGGAGAATGAAAAACGTAAGGCTGATGAGTCATGGAAGAAAAAAATTGAGGAGCTGAGTGAACGACTTTTGATTGTGGAGAAAGGTGCAAACTTGTTTATGAATGGAGAAACTCACTGGGAAATGGAGGAGAAGGTGAGGAGCTGTCTGAGCTTCAACGAATCATTGATCCAAGGGTTTCTAATAAAGTCATTAGCAAAAAGATATGAGTGATGTAGATGTATGTGATAATGAGCATAAAAATATCACAGCAGGGGCACCTCCTTCGCAGAGAAAGGACCTCAAGTCTGTAAACATCCATCCATCTGCTGTTGAAGTCACTAGGCAATCCCCGGACTCTCCTAACAAGGCGGTGCTTGGTACATCAGGTATTGAAGTTTAGCATGCATCTCTTTTCGCTACTTTGATATGCATGGCTGATTTTGGCTTTCAAATTTTCAAATGTCATCAAAATGATAGGATAAATTAAACTTTGATTTAGCTGTGGTTTAGGGTTAAAAAATCTCAACTTTGTGGCTGCATTAGATGGCACATTGTCATTTCTTGCTTTATTAAGGCTGTGTGTGATGCGCTTACAAAACACATAACATTTTCATGAACAAGTAATTAACTGGGTCCAATCTTTGCACCAGTAGAAAGGTTCTAAAATTTATTTAAATAATTTTGGCTTAACAGATTATTTCCTTAGGAATTTAAAGGATAAGGTTAATAAAGTTGTTTATATTGAAGGGAAACAGAGGGAGATAATATCCTACCCTCGTTTGGAACTTTAGATAAAATACTAGGGAAATAGATCATTTGTCTTATATTTAGGAGACAAAAAAAAGGGAGTGTTAGTTAAGTTTCAATACAGGGGTGAGAGGGAATTCTTCATTCCATCAAAGGTGCTGCTTATTTGCAGGGCAACTGTGTGAAATTTGCAACGGAACTGTGTGAAAATTTGCAACATATCAATAGGGTACTCTGGACACTCAATTCTTTTAAAGGAGTATGATTAAACTGATTTGATTTTGTACTGATGAAAAGCATTCAGATATATAGTACTTCTTATCAATTATCCATTAAATTATCTCTCTTCTTTTGTTTAGGTCAAATGAATTGGGAGAATTACAGCAAATGAGAATTTTGAAATTCGCTTTGCATCTCTTTTTTCTACTTGGATATGCATGACTAGTGCTTCCCAAAAAAGTCTTGATTGAGATTAGAATGATAGGATGGATTAAATTTCCTAATGTTTTTGGATTAAAAATCTCACTTTGGTAGCTGCATTAGTTGCATATTGACATTTCTCGATTTATTAGGATAAGATATAAATTGCATAACTGTGACTAATTTTATGGAAACATGACATTTGTATAGATTAATGAATTATTGTGTACATATGGTGCATAGATCAGGTAGAAGGATCAATTTTGATGTTATATCAAAGTAGAATGTGTTATTACTGCTACTTTATGTTTGTGTACTATTTCTAATTTGATTGTTTTTCCCCCTTAAAATTAATTTATGTATTCAATTCTGTGTATGTTATTTCTTAGCGAAAAAAATCAGTTGAATTTCTATGCAAGTGCATGTGGTTAAGGCTAGTCACATAAATTTTTTATTGTGGGATAACGAACCATGTTTTTAGTTGTCTAATGAATAATATCAATAAAGTTCTTTATGTTGAAGGGAAATAGAGAGATGTTTACACCGTGCGTTTGGAATTGTAGTGCAAGTACTCTGGTAATTGATCTTCTGTTATACATATGTGGTAAAACCAACAGAACCGAGGCATGTTTCAATTTAGGGTTAAGTGGGATTTTTTCATTCCATCCTAGGTGTTGTCCATTTGCATGGGTTCTGTGTAAAAATGTGCAGCATGTGACTAGGGTGCTCTCAACTCTCAATTTTCTTGAAGGTATGGTGATTGAGCTGATGTAATTGTGTGTATGGAAGAAAAGAAGCATTCAAATCTGTGAAATTTTTTTGGGCAAATTTCTTGTAAATTTTAGCATACTGCATTTCTTAGTCATGAAACATTCTATGGTAGTTACTATGGATTATCGATAAAACCACCCTCTTCTTTAATTCGGCTTTGTTTTTGGTTTGATGAATTGGGAGAACAACAGCAATTAAGAATTCTTGCTTTTGGAGGTTGTGATTCATCTTGCTTCTTTGTTGTTGACCTGATGGATTTGTGACAAGAGTTCTGCATGTAGATAGCCTTTGATATTTAATGATGCTTGTCCAGGGGTTTCCGCTGAAGAAGACACGGACAGACATGATAATAATGAAGTTGATAGAGATGACATGAGTGCAGAAATATCACTACAGATGGCTGTGGAAATGTCCATCTCGTTGTTGATGATGATGCTAGGCAATTCCCAGACACTCCGAACACAGCTGACCTAGGTGCATGGTATGGATATATAGCATGCATCTCTTTGTGCTGCATGGATATGCATGATATTAGATAAAGAGAGGATCTAAGGCTAGAGTTTCCATTATGTTTAGAAGTAGCAACTGAGAATACAGTTGATATACATAACTGTGGAAATAATGCTGCAGGTACTTCTCCATCTAAGAGAGGCGATTTTGGAAATACCTGTCTCACTGATGATGATGATGATGATGATTCACAGGCAATCCCCAAACACTCCAAACATAGCCATGCCAGGTGCATCAGGTATGGATATTTAACATGTATTGCTTTTCGCTGCATGGATATGTATATTTAGATAAATAGAGGATCTAAATGAGGTGAATTGGGAGTGATAGCAAGAATTCTTTTTTTTTTTGGAGATTAGGATTCATCTTGCCTCTTTGTTGTTGACCTGATGGATTTGTCACCAGAGTCCTGCTTGTCGATAGCCTTTGATATGTAATGATGCTCGTCCAGGGGTTTTTGCTGAAGACATGGACGGACAGGATAATGATGAAGTTGATATGGATGACCATGAGTGCAGAAATATCGCTACAGACGACAGTGGAAATGCCCATCTCGCTGTTGCTGATGATGCTAGGCGATCCCCATACACTCCAAACACAGCTGAGCTATGTGCATCAGGTATGGATATATAACATCCCTCTTTTTATGCTACATGGATGTGCATGATATTTAGATGAAGAGAGGATCTAAAGCTGGACTTTCTATTATGTGAATGCAGTTGATGTACATGATCGTGGGTGTGAAAATACTGCCGCAGACACTTCTCCATCTCAAAGAAAGATGGACGATCGTGGAAATACCCATCTTATTGATGATGACAATGATGATGATTCAAGGCAGTCCCCAGACACTCCAAGCACTGTTGTGCCAGGTGCATCGGATATGGACATTTAACGTGCATTGATTTTTGCTGCATGTATATGCATGATATTTAGATAAACAGAGGATCTAAGGCTGGACTTTCCATCATGTCCAGAAGAAACAACCAAGACTATATTCAGTTTATGGAATATAATCATCAATTTCTTAGCTTTTGGTTGCAAAGTTTTGTAGGCAAACTTATTTTCTTCATGTATGTAGGTCTAATATATCTTTTCTTTACCAGCTAATGCAGTATGGGATCACAAATAGCTGTTATTGAGGTCAAAGACAGTGATGATGAGGATGATGAGTGTTTCGCAAGTGGAGCTTTGAAGGGAAAGGAAGCGACTTGTGCGTTGCAGCAACAGGTGATGATATTGGAGGACTTCAAATTTATCAAGACCACAAAGAGCTTTTATTGAGATCAAAGACAGTGATAATGATGATAACGGGTTTATCACAAGTGGAGCTTTGAATGAAA